ACGTCTCAGGTGGTAGCAGTGGATTATACTCTATTGATTTGATTTAGAGAAGTCCTTTGTTCTGTTTGCGGCATTTATTGTTTTTTTCATTTCGTTGGTAAAACTGTGAGCATTGCATTTTCACACACTCTTGAAAATGTAAAAGTTATTTTAGAATTTTAGTTTGTTTTTGAAGCAAGAGGAATTGTCACCTGCACATGTGTCAGATGGCCATAGTGTGTCATTGTTTACAAACAAGCGTCTACCCATGAGCATTTGCATTTTGTTATCGACTAAATTCCGGGATGTGCACAGGTAACAACTCTCTCGCTTTAATTTCTTGTAGTGGTACTAGTAGGATTGTCTAGTAGTGTGTTGGCTTCTGTTGAGTGATGTGTCCTAATATGGACAATGATAAATACATGTATAATGAATTGTTACAGTAAACATAATTTGAAATGTTTGAATATTTTCCCTTTATTCTTTCTTGAATCGTTAGATAGTGTATTATAAAAGTATGTCAACACAGTAGTTAAACATGGCTGTTAGACTTGGTATTTGCCGACTGGGTTGCCGTGACCTATTTATGAGAAGACAAGTGTGCTCATGGAAAAGGTAACTTTCACATTTATTGTAATCAGTTACCATGGTTTCACAGTTAGGTTAAACTGGTTTCATATTAGTTTACAATAAGTTACTCTAGTAACTCTAGTAAATGTCTCTATAACCAGGTGGTCATTTTGTTTATATTCATGTCCATGCTGAATCCTTGCTCATATTTTGTCTGACATAGTTGACAGTTTACATACAAGTACTTTACTCTTAGTAAATATTGTAGGTTGTGTTATTTTGTACGGAACCAATTCTCAGAGATGAACAGGACAATATTATTAAAATCTCGTATCATGATCATGCATATTTAGTTACAGGTTCACATCATATATTTTTGAGATTTGAACAAAAGTGGCCGACTGGTGGCCATTTTGTTTATATTCATGTCCATGCCAATTTCTCATCAATATCATCTGATTCAGTTGAAAGTTTGTACACCTGAAATCACAGTATATAAACATATCTAGAACTGTTTCTCAGAGATGAACAAGATGAGTGAGTTACAGGTTCACGTCATATATTTTTGAGATTTTAACAAAAGTGGTCGGCTGGTGGTCATTTTGTTTGTATTCATGTCCATGCTGAATCCTTACTCATATTTTGTCTGACAAAGTTGACAGTTTGTATACAAGTACTTTACTCTTAGGTGGTATTGTAGGTTGTGTTATTTTGTGAGTCAATCAAATTTTTCAAATTGCTGGCTATTGTGTCTAAAATCCTGAAATCGCAGTTTTTTAACATGTCCAGAACTAATTCTCAGAGATGAACAGGCCAGTATTATTCAAAACTAGTATCATGATCATGCATATTGCATTACAGATTCACATCATTTCTTTTTTTAGATTCAAACAAAAATTGTTGACTGGTGGCCATTTTGTGTATATTTATGTCCTTGACGAATCCACACTCATATTGTGTACGACATACATATTACTGTACTTATAGGTACAATGTTTTACCATAAGTTGTGTTTTTTTGTGTGACTTAATCAAATTTGTTAAATTGATTGTGCATGATTTTGTTCAAACTGCAACCTACATGTACATACTGAAATTTGGGTTGCACATTCCATTTTTTAGTGATTCAACTAAATATGCTCTGCCCATCACAGTAAATTGTCAGCAACTACTGATTGCATCACAGCGCTATTCAGCTGAAAGTACACCCACACTCTGTGATCGATCCTTAGTGATTGATGTTGACATTATATACAGAATGGGGACTTCTGCATTGTGTATGCATGTTTTTTAGAACATGTTAAAACTACCGAAAATTTAATTTTTCTTTGGCAATGTAAAAAGTAACATGGGGTCAGCACTAACATCGATCTCAAATACAACATCGTTTGGCAAGTTTGAAGCTTATTGTTCTTCTCCTTTGAGTCCCCCAGAATATCTTTTCTTTCATAGTAGCCGTTGTCTCAGTCTACAATTAAAATCACTTGAAGACGACAGTTTTCCTAGCACAGACAAAGCCATCATGTTATTAATTAAAATATTAATAGATATGACATTATTACTTTAAAACCTTTAGCTGCTAGTCAGTTCTTTTAGTGCTAGTTATATAAATGTATGAATTCCATATCTTCTTACGTACATCATAGCCATGTTAACAGTACATATCTACATGATATCACTCTACAAGTGTTGTTTTCTTTTATTCCAGGCTCAATATCTATTTTATCATTTTGTCAATATTTCTGGTAATCCAAGTCGTTACAGCTAGCACATGCCCAGTGTACAATATATTGTATTATTTACCAATTGATAGATATTGTACAGCGTCACAAGAAAATAATCCTCTGCTGCAACAGGATGGTCTACCTAAGTTTACTCAGATATGTGCTGAGCAAGTCGTACCTGCCATTCAAAAACTAACTGCAGATTTTGATAGAAATCGTCAAGAAGTTGAGGAAAAGCTTCAAGGTGAATTATTAAGTTTTATAATTCTTTCTTAAAATGCCTCTGCAGTGTCTGAGTAGACATTT